AAAGGATAAACATTAATCTCTTTTCATGAACCCCAGCAATCCGACTACACGCAGTCACACTAATGGTAGATATGCTTCCACCCCAGTTTTAATGGATCCCAAAGGCACCATCGTCTTTTCCACCATCAGCAGGCCAAACTATGGCTTCGATGTCTTCTTTGTCCAACTAAACCACATCACTGCCGCCATTGAGGACCGCCTCACTGATGGCTGCTCTGTCAACTTCAACGCCCAATTCGTTGATGAACACCAATCTGTTGTCTTTGTCTCTGAAAGGTCAAGATCGCCCCGAATCTATCTCACTCGCCCTGGCCTACCCAATCTCGAGTAGCTAGCATCCGTGCCCCATAGCCTCTTTCACGACCATCCTATCCTGAAGAACAACCACCTCTACTTTGTTTCAGCTCAAGAGTAACCCAATCGCCAATTCTAGAGCTGGGCAGCTCTTCACTCAACTGAAATCGATGATAAAGATAAGAAAATTATGTAGTTGACCCTTTACGAAGCCGTCGATTATAGCCCTACAGTTTCCAAGTCTAGGATATTTCTTGTCGTCGCATCTTATGGGTCTCGCTCGTGGGGTGGTGAATTTCACGAGCTCAACATGGATATAGTTGTTTTCCCAGAATCTGACTTGAGGATGATGACGATGATTTGAGTGATGGCGAGGATGATGAATCAAATGCTAAGAGTGATTTGTTCGACGATTCGTTGGCTGAGGTTGATTCGGACGATGAAAGCCTCATCCCCGTCGGTGAGAGCGAAGAGTGCAGACGAAATTCATTTCAAAATTGAAATTCATGGGTTTGAGAGTGAAATTGAAATACACGGACTTTACTCTTTAGAATTACCTTGTTGAAATGCATGTATTTTACGTAAATTCAATTATTTTTTATTTAGGTAAAAACAAATAATGATATTGAATTTTAACCTTTTAAATTCAAATACATTTTTTCAAATTCATGTTACCAAATGGACCATTAATGAATTTGTTGTTATTTTAATCTTGTTTTAAAAGACAATTATAAAATATATTAAATAAAATATTTTATTTAAATAATACTTAATTAAAAAA